GGGCTCGATCCCAGGACCCTGGGATCATGACCTGAGCCGAAGGCAGACGCTTAACGACTGAGCCACCCAGGCGCCCCGAAATATATTTTTTTAAATATGTCTCCCCCCTCACTTTGCAGACTTAAATTTTTATTTTTTATTAAAGATTTTTATTTATTTGGCAGAGAGAGCACAAGCAGGGGGAGCGGCAGGCAGAGGGAGAGGGAGAAGCAGGCTTCCCGCGGAGCGGAGAGCCCGACATGGGACTCGATCCCAGGATCCTGGGATCATGACCTGAGCCGAAGGCAGATGATTAACTGACTGAGCCACCCAGGCGTCCTAAACATTGGGTTTCTTATTGAAGGGTTTGTGTTCTAAATCTGCCACTTCTGGCACTATTACTTTCTCCAACTAGTGACCTCTTGTTTTTAATGAGGATTTTGCTACCTCATTACAGGTTGTAAGGGTCAGATGAAATAATTTCTCCAATCATACTTTTGGCAATCAATAAAATGAAGATGAGCCATTAAGGAGGAGAATCCTGGCAAGATGGTAACAGCGTAAGAATTGTCCAGAGGGCCTTAGAAGAAGGATGTGTGATGGAAGCTCTAAACAGTAATGTAGTTAGACCTCCACCGCCTGCTCAAGCCCAACCGGGAAGAGAAACGGACCACAGCTCCTAGCCCTCAGGCTCTGGCTGGCTTAATCATTGGCTGTCCACCTTCTCAGGTCCTTTGTTACGGCATAGGGAGGGCCTGTGGAAAAAGAATTTGACTAGTGGCCAGTTTTCGTTGTAGCCCTGCAGACATAGATTTACCTTCCAGATATTTTAAGTCTGATCCCTTTGCCTCACAGGTGAGAAAAATTGAGGCCAAGTGAAATTAGATTGTTTGCCCATGTAGTAAATGCCAGTAGCAAAGTTAGTGCTCAGGGTTTGGTCCATCCTGGTGCAATTCTACATCACCTTATTGTCACTATTAGTCTTGTCTTCCCCAGAGAGACTGACAGATCCCTGAGGGAATACACTCTATCTTAGACATTACTTCCTGAATTCCTTAAAAGACTCAGCAGAGAACTGTGGACACAATAGGTATCTGGAAAATCCATGATGACATGAATTAAAAAATGATCACTATTCTTGATTTATTGTTGTTGCTAAGAAAGAGGGAGTATGGGAAGCTCAACAGGTGGCCAGTTAGGTGGCTTTCTTCTAGGAAGATGCTGGTGCTTGGACTGGAGAGCACAGTGGAATCCAGAACACACCATATACTCGGTCAATTTCCCAAAAGTCCGTGTCTGACAGATTTAAAAATGAGTGAAGACACGGGGAGTCTTCCGAAGGTGCAGCTTTTGGTTTTATTTCAACGGGCTGCTAGTATACAAAAGTAAAAGGTACATTCCTTTAAAAACCTAAACCAACCACCAACCCAAACCCATAACTGGTAATTCAATTGTTCAGGAAAGGGGGGAGCCCCGGGCTCATCTACATAACACGACATTTTGCTCCAGGTGCAATGTGCAGCCCTCAGGTGAGGCCCTGTCTCCACACTAACACAGCTCCAGTCTCCGGTGGCTTGCTGGCTTCCCATGCCTTGGCTCGGCTGGGACTTTCTCAACCCCAAAGGCAGAAAATCAAAATCACAGATTCTTTCTGGATATTTTGACCTGGCCCTTTAAGTGACATCTTTAAGACAGCTAAACTCAAACTCAGACTCATATAAACGTGAATCTGGGAAGAAAGGCGGGCCCAAAGAGAGGAGGGTCAGACCCCCGCTTGCCCCATCAGTGACCCTGCGAATGCCCTGGCAGACTGAAATGGAAGCAAAGAAGGGGACTCGAATGTGCATGACCTGATGTCAAGTCCTGGCTAAAATTGTCCCCAGCTGTGTGTTTTTATGAGGGTCATTTACCCTCCTGAAGCCCCGGCTCCCTCCCTCTGTCATCTCCTACCTTCTCAAGGCAGACTGGTCCATCTGCCAGCATGGTGCAGGAGCTAATGCGACTGAATCCGAAGTGCTGCACAGGAGGGGCGAGGTGGTTTGAGGAGGCAGAGGGGGAGGACAGGAAAAGGAAAGAAAGTAGAATCAGAGAAAGGTAGGGTGGAGAGACGGAGCCAACACAGTACAAGGGGCGTGGACACCCCTTCTGGGCTGGGGTCGGGCTTAGGTGATGATATTAGTGGGTGGGTCCTCTTAACTACACAGAGCGGAGAGCTGCTCATTAGAGCTGACCTGGAGCCAGTCACTGGGAAAGAAAATCGATACTCAGACTCACTACTATGAAGCTACCCTTCACATGGCTTTCATCACAGGATCACTTGTAAAGCCTCTGTCGCCTCTCTGGGCAGGAGACAGGCTGCTGAAGGGGCTCCCAGCCTGGCCCTGGAAGAGGTCACGTCTTCACACTTCCTCAAGCCACAGAAAACTTGAACCAAGTGGTGTGGTCATACTCGTCCCCAGGCCTCAGCAGCACAGGAGGGAAGTGGGGCTGTGAAGGGAAAAAGAGGACAGGTTACACTTGCCAGCCCAGCTGCACCCTTCACCATTCAGGATGGCTCTGGACTGGTCTCTAGAACCAGCTGCCAGGGTAACAACTGTTTACTATTGGTTTGCACTGAGAGAGAACTCGAGCCACATCACTGAGCACGTTGTCACAGCAGGACTTTCCCGATGAAGGAGGCCGTGTATCAATTTACATTGTGGTGCAAGCTGCAGAGCTGGTGCTTTGGGCAGCACTACTCTAGGCAGCAGCTAGAAAAAGAAGTCATCAGTAAGCAAATAGGAAGAGAAGATGGGATCATTTGAAAAGTGTGGTTGCAGGGGGCGCCTGGGTGGCTCAGTCAGTTAGGCGTCTGACTCTCGGTTTTGGCTCAGGTCATGATTCCAGGGTTGTGAGATCGAGCCCTGTGTCGGGCTCCGTGCTGCTTAGGATTCCCCTTCTCCCTCCCCTTCTGCACCCCACCCCTCAAAAAAGTATGGTTGCAGAAGATGAGCAGGTATTGATAAGGGGCAACATTGAACTGAATAAAGGCTTTGAAGGCACAAAATAGATTAAAAAATACATAAATGCTATGTTAGTAACTTGGCTAAAGGTTTCCTTATCATGACTGGGAGAAGAGAACCCTGTGGACTTGTGATTCACACAGACCTGAGTGTCGTGACCTCTGTCATACAGTGTGACCTTGGGCACAACACCACTGAGAAGCCGGGCTGGAGCTTTACCTGATTGACGGCATCAGGCCAGTTCTGGGTCTCGAGGCAGAAACCAGAGTGCTTGGGATAGACTGCTCCACCCTTGCCCTTCAGAGCGCCATCCAGGAAGTTGCCTGTGTAAAACTGGACCCCAGGCTGGGTTGTGTACACCTCCAGTAGCCGCCCGCTTCCAGCATGACAGACCCTGGGGGTAAAGCAGACCACATCGGTACATCGGTATGGGATGCAGAGGCCGGCAGGGACCGGGCGAAGCTGGGAAGCCGCCTCTGAGCCAGTAAGCAGGCCCAGCCATAGAGCAGGGACAGATACAAGGAGACAAAGATGAGAAGAGCATGATGGGAAATTCTCATAGTCTCCTGGGTGAGGCGTGAGCAGGTGGTTCTGAGGATCCTCCAATGGCCACTTCTCCCTGTGATCTTGGCTCCTCTGAGGAAGGCTCACCCCAGGTGTGTGTGTGCGTGTGTGTGTGTGTGTCTCAGGGGCAGCCAGGTTGAAGAGACACAGTTTTCAGGCTCTGGAGGGGCTGAGAGTCTTTCTCATAAAGAGTTGGAGCTCTCTGCTTGGCCTGGCAAAGCCACCAGCTATGTCTTGAAAGAGAAGAGATGCTTCTCTAAATTAAACCATCCCCCTTCCCTGGGGCTCAAGCAGGTGGCGCTTTTTAGTCAGATGTCCCCTGAGAACAGATGTACTGTCAATTTTTGCTAGATTCACTGTTTCCTTTAAAAAAAACAAACAAATCCGCCCCCCCCAAAAAAACAGGCCTCTACAGAGCTGAGAGTACCTACCCGCTCCCATACTTGGTGTTGAAGGGATATGGATAAAGAAAAGCCTCAGTCTTCCCCTCTTACTGAGAGGTAAAACATCCCAGCAGTGTATGGTCCATGAAGAGGTTCAGGGGAAGATGTTTGGGAAGAGGAGGGCCAGGATTTGAAGAGTGGAGAGAGGCCGGAGAGTCTCCTTGAGGTGGGTGCAGGAGAGAGAGAAATGTGAGCACTAGGCAAGAGGAGAATGGCAGAATCCAGCTGGAAGAACACAGGGACTGGGGCTCTGAGGGAGAGAAGGCTTGTGAAGTTTCTCTCGGAGTTTGAATCACTTTCTCTGCTTTATTTCAAATCCATTTATTCTACAGACATTATTTGCTGGTGCCAAGCACGGTGTTAGGCACTAGGGCGGGGAGGGGGGGACTCAGGGAGACGAGATGGTGCGAGGAGTCAGAATTTAGTGAGGAGGAGGGAGAGTGCACACAAATGCCACTGAAACAAGGCTGCTGGTGGTGCTGGTGCTGGGTGCTCTGGGGAGAAGGGCAGCCTCTGACGCTCCATGGAACTAGACAGGGCACGAATCACATGTGAACAAAGTACAAAGGGCTCCAGAAGTTCAAGGAAAGCAGAGGTGACTTCAGTCCGGAGGAATCAGGCCTTCTAAAACCAGTGGGCCTTAAAGAACAGGCACAGATGGGGAGAGAGGCAGCGAAGAGAAACAGGCTGCCAGGTGGGAGCCCAGGGCTAATGGCCTGATGCGGGAGGGGGAGCAGCTCCGGCTCCCTGGAAGAGGAGCTTTGAAAAGTCAGGGGATGTGTATGCGGTCCCTGCAGCAGAGTAAATGCTACTGAGCCGGCCAGAGAAAAAGCTCCTCATATAGGACGTGGCATCTCTTCTTCCCCACAGAGGCAGCAAGTGAAAAGGGCTTACCGTGCACAAAAGTGCTTTTCTTTAGATCCCTTCAGACAGAAATTGTGGTCGAAGCCATTGATATGGAAGTCCTGCAGGTGTTTTCCAAGCTCGACTGGCTTCCGCAGGTCAAAGGCAGTTCCTTGTACTGGAGCAACTTCTCCTGGTGGGAAGAGGCAGATAAAAAGGCAGCAGGCTGGAGCACTCTGGCCAGGCTTTCTTGAAAGAGGAGAGGGATTCTACTTCAGAGCTTTACACCATGATCCAGCTTAGTTTCTGTCTTTATTTTAAAAAAAAATTTTTTTTTTCTAATTTGAGCATAGTTAACACACAATATTGCATTAGTTTTAGGTGTGCAACGTAGTGATTCAGCTTCTCTCTACATTATGCTGTGCTCTCCATGAGTGGGACCCCCGTCTATCACCAGGCAACTCTTACAGCACCACTGACTATATTCCTTGTGCTGTGCCTTTTATTCCTGCGACTTATTCATTCCATAACCGGAAGCCCAGTTTATTTTCTTTAAAAGTCTTCTTTGTCCTAGAATAGTGTCACATATTTAAAGGTGGACACAAATGCTAGTTAGTTAACATACTCTTTTAGGGTTAGAACTACTTTTGCCGGGGCGTCTGGGTGGCTCAGTCGTTAAGCGTCTGCCTTCGGCTCAAGTCATGATCCCAGGGTCCTGGTATCGAGCCCCGCATCGGGCTCCCTGCTCTGCGGGAAGCCTGCTTCTCCCTCTCCCACTCCCCCTGCTTGTGTTCCTGCTCCCGCTGTGTCTCTCTCTGTCAAATAAATAAGTAAATAAATAAATATTAAAAGAAAAAAAACCTACTTTTGCCTTTCATGTGGTCAGATGGAGATGTTGTAGGAACTTGGTTTCTGTGCTATTTTTAGCGGAGAGAGAGGTAGCATGCAAAGTGGGTCTGAAATCTTAGGAGGCTGAGAAAGATCAGGAACTTGTACCTTACCACTAAAAGATTTAAACAAGTAAAAGGAGAACCAACTTTAGCTGTTCAAAACGTTGAGTTCTGCTTTTGTGTGTTCCTAAATACTAAGAGGAAACACGAATCTCCTATCTTTGGGCGAAAGACGGCATCCTTTTCTTAAACTCGGAGCTCCTGTTCAGAAACATGGTCTTCCTAGTATGTGAGGACTAGAGTCTGTGAGTTCACACAGAGCTGCGGGGATGCCTGAGGTCCAAAGCACCCAAGGGGGACCCAGAGGACTGGCCAATACCATCCTAGCATCTGATGCCCACTATTTGACCAAAGGAGTTTGGGAAGCACACAGAAGAATCCTTCTCTTACCAGAGTCAGCTCTAGGAAAAATTAAGTAGCATTCTTTTTGAAAACACCCCTTAAAACCATCTATTTCCTTTGCCCGGTTCTGCTTGTACGAAAAAGAATTTTTGAATGGGTAATATTTGCACATGTAATCAATTTATTTATTATTTATTTATTTTAAAAAGGTTTTACTTATATGAGAGAGAGTGCGAGAGAGAGAGCATGAGAGGGGCGACGGTCAGAGGGAGAAGCAGACTCCCCGCTGAATGGGGAGCCCGAGGCAGGACTCCATCCTGGGACCCCAGGATCACGACCTGAGCCAAAGGCAGAGACACTCAACTGACTGAGCCACCCAGGTGCCCACATGTAAACAATTTAAAAGGTAACAAATGTAAAAGATACAAAATACTATAAATCAAAACAATCTCTCTCATCTTTGTTCCCCACAGATCCAATTTCCTTCAACAGAAGCAACCGCTGTTGCTTGTTCCTGACCCATCCTTCCAGAGATGTTACAAGGATATCGAAGTATGTTAACGCAGACCCATGCACACACACACAAAGATAGAGCCTATTTCCACCTTGATCTTTTTATTCAATTTGTCTTGGAGGTTGTTGCTAAATTTATTCCTATGTATTTTATTGGACAACTCTATATGCACTCATATTTCTATTTTTTCTATGATAATCTGTCAATTTAAAATTTCTTTTCTGGTATCATAATTGCAAATTTACATTTTTCTAGAAACATGTGCATTCCGTCTATATTACTCTCACTTATTTGTAGAGTTGAGGAAGACAGTAACTTATGATTCTTTCAATTTCATCTGTCTGTGGTTATTGGCCTGTGCTCATTTCTAACTTTGTGCATTGAATAGGTTAGCTAATGCTTTATCTATTTTATTTTTCCCCCCCTCCAATGAAGCAGCTCTTGGATTTATGTATTAGCACTACATTTTTCCTCCTCTTTTCAAAACAATAACTTCTGCTTTTATTTGTATTAATTTTTCTTTTGTTTTCTTGGGTTTATTTTGTTATTTTTCAAATATCTTGCATTAGATGCCTAATTAATTTATTTTCACATTTTTTTGGATTAATATAAGTAGTGCTACAATGTTCTTCTGAGCAATAGGCTTTATAACACATATAGGAATTTCTGTTATATATAATTGTAACATCATATTTCCATTTATTATATATTCCAATATGTATTATGTACATATTTCCATTATATGTAATTATATATTATTTACCTATTTTCTAGATGTTACTAGTTTTGGGGCTTGAATTCCCTTTTGATCCAAGAATTATTAAGAGTTAAAACATTTCTAGGTCAGTATTGGCTGTCTTACTCCTATTTTGTGAAAGTACCTGAAGTTTTCTTTATGCTCTCTGATATGGTGAATTGTAAATTGCATCCTTTATCATTACAGGGTACCCTCCTTTATGTAATTTAATGCTTTCTGTCCTGAAATCAGCCTTTACTGGTATCAAGATTGAGACTCCTGCCACTTTGGCTTTCATTTGCTTGGTTTGCTTTGAAATCTCATATTTTTAACCTTTCTGTAAGACTTGGTTGCACACAGCATTCTGATGGGTTTTGCTTTGTGATTCAATCTGAGAGACTTTGTTTAATAGAGGTATTTTATGGCATTACTATGACATATGTATGTTTTAAGTATTCTTAGCTCTGTCGTTACATTTTATGGTGTGCTTTCTGTGTTTATGAATTTTTGTTGTTGCTTGCTTTTTAAAATCTTTTACTATATGGTCTGTGTGTGTGTGTGTGTGTGCACCTTATAAGTTTGAAAGTTTGTAATTTTGTTTTAGTGGTTACATCTACATATAAGTAACTTCAATATGATATACTTAATCCTCTGTTCCTCAGAATCTGCTAAGCTTTTCCTTTCTTACCCTTTCTCCTTTCTCTTTGCTACCTGACTTGGGTTTCTGATGCTTTCAACTGTTAAGAATCCTAATAAAGGCACTCTTGTTCCCCAGTAGATGGTGCTAGAGACACAATATAAGGAGCTTGCTTTATAAACATCCACCTCGAATTCAGAGTCAGCCCTCTAAAACCTGATCAGTTCTAGGAGAATGAAGAGTTGAAGTTTTTGGGTCCCTCAGGCCAAAGGCCAAATCCTGGATGGTAATGATCACCTGAGTGCTACTGTCTTGTGAAGTCCGGGTGACCAAGCACCTCCCACACTGATTTATAAAAAGGTAAAATGTTTCCTTATGAAACAATTAGTCTGGGAAAAAGCAGCAGCTGTTTTCATGGGCTTAAGAAGATTTTTGTCTTACCAACGCATATTCTGAGTATCAATTTATGTTATGCTTTTTTCCCTAACCTTATATGGTATTCACAATATTTAGTTCCTTCAAGTCATGCTTGACTCAAAATCTGACCCTTATGACAGTTCCAATGTGATATTGCACAAGTCAGTTAAGATTACTTATTTCTCTTGACTTTAAGGTAAAAAGAAAGTCATGGAATTTTCATGAAGGAGGGAGCCAGGGCATATTTCAGGTCTGTTTACCTGATACTGAGCAATCTACAAATCAAGGTTTATGTTAACTTTTCTCTTTGTAAAATGAAGCTATTATTTGCTACCTTATACGTTACATGGAAATATTTGATAAATGATAAACGGTTTCTGGAGGGTTGCATACATAAACAGGTCAAATTTCAGGATAACATATGTAACACAAAGGAGAGCCTAGAGGGGGTAAGACTTCAGAATGGCAGAGAAGCCCTGACTTAAAAATGAGAAACTTCGGGCGCCTGGGTGGCTCAGTTGGTTAAGCGACTGCCTTCGGCTCAGGTCATGATCCTGGAGTCCCGGGATCGAGTCCCACATCGGGCTCCC